ATGAAAGAGATATTTTTGTTAAATTTAGTAAACATGGAAAAGGCGGTATTTATGGAATGTTTGGAATGTTTTTAAAGTATTAAGAAATTATGGAATTATGAAAATTATGGAAATTATAAGAATTTCCAATTGTAACAGCATACCTGGAATTCCAACTTGCAATGGGTTAACGACTATACTTCAACAAAGCTTATCCAATAACCAGCCTATATACTTCATGCCTAATGATGTGAGTGATGCTACTGAGTACATAAAAAATGTATCTACATATATTCTACGTATTTACAGTACTTTGATTAATGGGCAAAAGGCTAGGATAGATATTATAGGTATCAAATCTTTTTTTGATATTCTTGTGCCTGATAATGAATTTTTATCTATATTCAAACCAAGATTAGTAAAAATTATTTCAGAAGCGGAAAAGATTGATAAATCAAAGTTTGGAGTGAAAGACATCAACGCGTATTCAATTTGTGGTTACCATACTGAGAAAAAGGCATATATTCGCATCACTACGTGGAATCATTATGATAGAATACAAATTTTAAAAGAGGTACGTAAGTATGGCATTGAAATAGCATCAGATGATATTACCAACATGCATTATTATCAAAAAATAGCTCGTGAAAAGAAGTTACCTCTTTCCGAGTGGGCAATATTAAATGATTATCATTGTATTTCTGATACAAATTTACCATATTATTCATATTCATTTCGCGTATCTGTAGATAATTATTGGTCTTTAGAGGATAATAAATCAAATGATCTAATAATTTTCAAAGTTCTCTCATATGACAGAACTCTTGTTCTCGCCTGGGATATAAAAACATATAGTGGACAGAAAATGAGGAATTTATCTGATGCAAGAAATGAAGAGGATCAAGTATTTATGATTTGTATAACAGTTCATTGGAAAGATGATCCCAATCCACTGTTGCAAATATGTTTAGTTGATATAGAGATGGAACCAGATTCCAGATGGATTACAATAATATGTGGGAATCAGACCAACTTACTAAAGACATTTGCATTATGTTGGAAACATTTAGCTCCAAATATACAAATCAGATTTAATGATTCGCAGTATGACTGGCCTTTCATTATAGAAAAAGCCAAAAGTTTAGGTATCCTTGAATGGATGTTTGATCACATGTCACCCGACTCATCCAATATTGAAGAAATTATAAAATGAAAATATCGAAGAAGTGAGATAAAGATAGATGATAAAAAATTTTATTCGAAGTATCTTAAAATTCCAGGATGTATACCTATTGATGTTCGTGCTTGCTTCAAAAAGTTATACCAGAAATCAGAAGCGAGTTCACTGAAATATTATTTGGAAAAATGTGGATTGGATAGCAAGGCAGATATGCCAATAACTACTATAAACAAAATATATGAAGATGCAATACTTCATTCCTCTGATATATCAGCTAAAAATATGTGTAAAGTTGCAAATTATTGTGTTATAGATACACGGCGATGCCAAGAGCTTATGGTTAAGCATAATGTAATTAATGACTATAGAGAAGTGTCATCCATTGCATATGTGTTTCTTTCTGATTCTCATTATTTTGCGGGAGGTATGAAAGTATGTAATCTTTTGGGAGCTGAAGCTTGGAGCAGTAATATGTAATATGATTGCTTCAGAAAATACAAAATCTGGTAAATATCTAGGAGCTTATGTTATTACACTGATAAAAGATCTGAAAAATAAACGTCTAGTAACAGATTTAGATTTTGCCTCCCTATACCCAAGTCTTATAATAATATACAACCTTTTACCAAATAAAATCATACTATTCCGTGAAGAAGCTATAGATATACTTTGTGATGGAAAGAAGCTTCACAAGATTGAGTTTCTATTCAATGTAAAGATGGTCTCCTAAATTATTTTTGGAAAAAATGGTATTTCGGCAAATAATTCGGTTTTGCTATGTTGCTTATATTAATGAATACTTAAAAACCACCTAGAAATGCTTGTTTTGATTTGTAGAATCCAAATAATTTCGGAAAACAATTTCGGCTACTAATAAAATAAGTCATAATAATTTCAGATTTAATTTCGGCAAGTTAATTTCAGCAAATTATTTAATTAGATGACGTCATTTCGGCAATCATCCTTAATTCAATGGTCAAACTATAGAAGCTTGATCTATTCGCCACAACAATATACCTGAAGAAAAGGATTTATATGCTAGGATATTGAAAAATCTATTCAATAAACGAAAGGGGATGAAAGAATGCCTTAATGAATTAGATGAGAAAAGTTTTGAATATATTTGCTTAGACTCAAAACAGAAGATGGTAAAATTATATATGAATACCTTTTATGGTGAGACAGGTAATAACCTCTCCCCATTCTATCAACTTCAGCTAGCAGGTGAGGTTACCTCTGCTGGACAGCGTAATATTAAATTTGTTAAAAAATTTGTTGAAGGTAAAGGGTTCAGTGTCAAATATGGGGATACTGATTCTTTATACCTCACATGTCCAGAAGAATGTTTCCAGGAATGTGATCGAAAATATAAATTAGATCAACTCTCACAAGAAGAGTACTAGAAGGAAATGGTAAAAATATCTATGAAAGTGATAACAAACCTCCGTAATGAAGTAAATACTGAACTTGAAAAAGATAATGGAACACTTTACCTTAATATGACATATGAAGAGGTCTTATTTCCCGTGGTATTTACAGAAAAGAAAAAATACTATGGTCTTGAGCATAAAAAGAAATCAAATTTCAATCCAGGTAAACTTTTCATTAAAGGAGTGAATATCGTAAAAAGAGGTTAATCTAAGCTCTTCTGTAATGTAAGTAAGGAAATTATGAATAGAACTTTGAAAGTTGATAATAGAAAAACAATTCATCAGATTGTTGAAAAAGTTCTTTGGAAAAATGTAGAAAAACTTTCCAAGTTAAATTATAATGAATTTATCCAGACATGTATATGGAGACCTAAAAAGGAGGGTAAGCAGGAAAATATTTCTGTAGAATGGTTTGTTTCACAGATAGAGATTAGATATGGTCGCGAGGTATTGGAAAATCAACAGCTTATAAAGAAGGATTTATCCGTCAATGAATATTTATATAAAGTTCCCAAACCCAGTGAATGGTTTAGTTACATTATAGTAGTACCTGAAGAGATTTATGATAATTGCGGAAAAAAAATATTACAGAAAAAAGGAGACTGTATGGAATATCCAAATGTGATAAAAAGGTTTAACAAGAGAATAAATATTGATTATTATACTAAGAGTTTATTTGCTCTTTGTGCCCATTTTATAAATTATAATGATAAATACCAACCATTATCTGAATCTCTGGCAAAAGCCTTGGATCGTAAAAAGAAATCAAAGGAGAAGAAATCAAAAAATGTTAAGGATTTATTGCAAAGCAATGACTCTCTGAGTCTAAATGAAGATAAAATAGCAAATATCAAAGATATAGAGTCGCAGAAATTGGCTAAAAAATGGCTCAAAAATTATATCAAAGATTTACGTAATACCTCAAAAAAAGATGAAGTCATTATCTCCCATTTATGAAAAGATGCTACTATACATGTGGAAAAAATATGTCCTATTATAAATGTTAGTTGTGAGAATTCTTCACAGAAAAATAATACCTATTTCAATATATTAGATGAACATGAAAAATCCATTTGTTCAAAGTTATTAACATTACTCATGGAAATTTTGAATTTATTTACAGAGTATAGGAAGGGTTTGTATATATTAGTTAATGAATCTTATAAGTATAGTGGAGCTAGTATAAAGATACATATTTCTAAGAGTACGATTCTGGAGGAATATATATTAACTGATATTTTGGAATCGAAGTGTGAGATATTAATAGATTTCCGGAATACATGGTACAAGGTAATTGGTCTTAAGATTACACATCTTCAAGTACTATTTATTATGCAGAACAGTAAAAAAGATAACACATTGGAAGCAGATATTGACGAGATTGTTGACTTATATTGTTAAGTGATCTTGGTTAGAATTGCCAGACTCCACTAAGATACTTATGCAGTAGATTATTTTTTCATATATAATTAATAACAAAATTCAAATAGATTCACCAATAACTATAGTCATAATCTCTCGATGCTTGTAGCATATCGCGACATCTCTCACAAACCATCCAAGAGTATTCAAGATTTAAAGATGCTGATTGATTATAGTTCTTTTTCCCATGAGCAATGATCTGATAATTTGGATATTTTTTCATTAAATCTCCTATACTTATATTCTCATTCTTTATCATATAGGCTTTATGTATACCATCTATCATAACTTTTATCGCATTCTTATCATATGTATTAGAAGGCTCCAGTTCAAGAGTAATGATATCTGATTTCTTAAACTTATGTCCACCACAAAATCTCATCCCCACTACTATAAAGGAATGTGTAACAATACAATCTGTATATAACGGCAATGATATTTCCTTACAACTACAACAAATACTAGGTATGATTAAAAACTATTATATTTTTCGTACATAAATAATATTCAAGTTCAAATAGATAATCTCAGTTATCCGATCCACATATCCCACAACTGCTCATTTTTTTTATCTATGCTCCATGTGCGTCTTAGTATTTACATAACCACAATAATTAACAAGGTAAGAAAGATATATACTGATAGCGATGACACCAAACTACTTGTCACAATGGGAATTGTACTCACTCCTCCTATTGGAATCTGGGAATTTGATTCAATCAAAGAAGGAGTATTATTTTCCCATTGTGCAAGATATGGAGTCACACTCTTGGGTATACTTAATGGCACATCAGAACTTATATGTATATCATCTAGAGATATATCAGTCTTTGGTGTGAGCCAGCCTTTGGCTGAAAACTCGGGTGTAGAGCTAACTGCTTCTTTAAATGTAATGGTATTTTTACTCTGTGCATCAGTATAAACTGATACAATATGTGCTTTAGCACTAACTTTGTTATTATCAATTTTTTCACTCTCATTCATATTTTTTCTGCGTATTATAAATAGCCTAAGATCTTTGATAGGTTCACTAATTACAGAGCTATTATTCGGTTTGGTTATATTTTTTTTGTTATCCCCACCAACAACGAATTCTGATATATCCTCTAATTTCAGATTCCTGAACTCACTAACCGCTGAAACTAACTCTTGCTCTAATTTAATTATTTTAGATTTAAGAGATACTATTTCAGATTCTTTTTTCGATGAGTTGTTTTGAATCGAAATCACGTCTTTCTGGGCTGAAGATAACTTATCTTCCAATATCTTGAGCATAGACTCAAGTGATCTAATTTTCTTGGATTTTGTAACAATGTCAACCTTGGCTTCAGCAAGAGAAAGATCTTTGTGTGTATTCTTGGAGATAAGGTTAATATTTTCATTTTTCAACTGCTTAGTCTCACCAATAAGTTCTAAAGCATGGGAATGTAACTTTTGTTTCTCACTATTAATATTATCAAATACACTCTCCCATTGCTTTCTCTCCCGATTAAATTTTTTTTCTTGTTTATCATACTTATCCCGCAATTTAGCATTATATGAAATTATCTCAGAAGAATCTTGGAGAGCATTATATAATTTTTTCTTAAGGTCTATCACAATAGCCATATGTGTCTTGGTGTGAACCAGCTTCCAGCTGACGCTATCTTTACTATTAAATAAAAAGAAATATTATAAAAAATAGCAATATATGGGATATAAATATGTGTCAGAGACACTAGCTCCGCTATACTTATCTGATAATGCTATCAAAGAAATTACATTTCTAATATATTTCAACAATAATAGATAATTATCGAATTTTTTAGAAAATTATTGAATATTAAGTATGTAATTACCTATAATTACTGATTCTTTTCGATCATAAGGGATATAGAACGTTTTCAATAATTTTTGATAATTTTTGATCATAAAAGATATAGGTGTATTTTAGTATTTTCAATAATCTTCGATAATTTTTTATAATTATAAAAAAAGGATGGAACACATAACCGTGGAATATTACTGTGCCAGCACTCCTTATCTATCTCCAGAAGCTATTGAGGAAATCATTCAATCTCAGGGGACTATTAAAAATGCATGCAGAGAAATGACTGATAAATATGATACTTCAACTCGTAGAATTTATGAAATTTGGAAAAGACATGCTCAAGGATTATCCCTGCGCAAACAACAAATAATACATAGTGTTGCTTCTTCTGAGGTAATGCCTGAAAATAATACTTCAGATAGGCGATCAAAGAAAAGAAAATCAGGATCTAGTCCCAGATCTGTTCGAATATCTGATTCAGTCAATATGTGCTCTGGCACTAGTTCCGCTATTATTAATAAGACTGATATAATCAATAATCTGATAAAAAAGTAGATAAAATGGATGACCTACAAGCTAAGCTTACACAAAGTCACAAAGAAAGAGAAGAAGCTAAACGTGAGTTGAAAAGATTCATGGATTCTAACTAATCTATTTTTATTTTTTCTAGAGTAGTCTGTAATCCACATAGCATTTTAATATCAAACTCATTTCTATATGCCTGTAATTTTTTATTAAGCTCGATTAATTCAGTATTAGAATCAAGTACCTCATATAGTGATTTTTCTAACTCTTCATAGCTCATGCATTTTTTTAAAGTTGGATTGGCAGAATCTAAGCTAAAACTTGCAGGAGCATTCCATTTCTCGAATGGTACATTATCATCCTCATTCCCATCGATCTCCTGTAAAATTTGATCGGATAGCAGAGGCTTACCATCCTGAGATGTAGTTATGTAGTTCACTTTGAGCTTATTTTTGACTGAATGCATATTAACTGGAATAGAATGTTCTTTACCATTGCATACGAGTTTCAACACACGCTTTGATGCAAGTAAATCATAATCATATTTATTGAGCAATGTATTAGGTAAAATTAACATTGGTTTGCGATACTTAACAACTGCAAAATCAGAATGTATGGTGCAACCCGGAGCAAAAGTCACAGGAATATTACAAATAATCCCAATAGATTCAGTATGGATGGTAGCAATTCCACTGAGATCGTGTTTTTCTTTTGTATCAATTCATCGGAAATTTAAAATACTAGCAGAATTGCAGTAAACTTCGAACCTGGTGACGAAAGGCGAAGAAAAAATATTCAGTTTAAAGAAATGCAAATATCTCCGCATGCAGTGGACCAAATTGAATGAAT